TATATATATATGCCCATAAGTACACTTGTATGTATACATATATGTAATGCCCCAAAGTACATATTGTACACGGTGATCTGATTGATTTACTTGTATACGCAGTAGTTATTCAATATCGTATATAACATATTGGTACATAACCTTGCCTGTATTCCCAGTTACAACTTTGTTGTGCCTCGTTTTATTTCTACAAATCAAACCAGCATCCAGTTTGATATGCCTTGTTGTGTTAAATGCATCCTAAATTTCCATACGCTATTACACCTCATTCACTCACGATGTCATCTATGCTTTCATATTCAGGATTATCCGCTATTGACCACTTTCTTCGAGGCTGAGATTGTGGGAAGAAAATACTCATTTTTGACCAACAAATGGGAGGCAGACGAAGCAGTGGATCGTCAACACTGGGGAAAATTCTCGTCGTGTGAGAAGTTTGCAGATAAACTTACTGACAAGGGCTTTCGTTATGACTGTGCGCGCGAGGACAACATATACATGCGTTGGAAGGTATTTGCAACTCGTTTTGGCACGTTTTGACACACATACGATCGTTCCACAGTGACGGTGTTAGGTTTCTGTTTGTTTGTATTCTCTACCGGTCTATATGTCGGCGACCATTGCTCAACTATATTCACAGGATTCCATGCGATATAGTTATATGCATGAATTGGCTCATGGATTCTGTCATTTTATCATATGGCATGCGTGAGCTTCAAAGAACAATAATCCAGGCGCACGTTGTGGCATAGAGTTGCAACAAAGTCGTTGCTTGTGCTGTCATGTACCACATCATCTTTATACTCTGCCGCACTGCAATGAACAATCACTCCCGCATCCAACTTTGAGTGTGATTCGCATGGTTATCACTCGGATACCACGAAGTTTTATATACGATATGAGATAGTATGTTTCTGTTGGCACTCAACTCTGTCAATTGGAAATAGTAGATGGCACATAAGCTGTCTCGGGGTGCTTGCGCCACTATAGAAAAGTCTATTGCGTTGATACTACCTTATGCTTATGCTTAGCTATAGTTCTTTCCCAATTATTGTGCCCAGAGCAACTGCGTGATATGAAGTACTCTGCGCGTTCTCTTCTTCACCACTCAGCCTGAAACGCTAAACGTTTGCGCCCTACCTTTCAAACGTGTCGCTGTTTCAGGTTTTTTTGTTGCTGGTCTTTATTTGCGGTGTCATCGTGTGTATCAAAGGTGCGTTCTTTATAGTCCCAATAGGTAGCGTCAACCTGTATACACCCCTTTCGTACTATGGGTCGACTCTAAAATGCCATTACGAACCATCTATTGCTATTCATATTAAATGACGATTACGTGGCTAGATGACTGCTGCTTACGGGACATTGTAGGTACCTTCATGCAGTGACATGATACCTTACTTATGCGGTATATTATGTTGTCTTGTACTTCTGTGATATATCATCCAGGAGCATTTCTTAGTGCCCGACCACAAAGTGCGATCCATAGCGGGGGCCAGTTTTGCGGGGTTCTACTATATCTGCTACCAACGATCAACGGACACCATTGAAGGCTTTTACTACCACAAGAAATCGGACTGGTAAGTGTACCTGGTTCACAAACGTGTCCACTTTGATTTGGCAAAATGCGTTAGGGTTTATGAGTTTGTCTATCATCGCTGCTACATTTTGATTTACACCTTTTTATACTCAAACGCTGAAAAGGAAGTGTATTGTGTTTTAAAAATGCCTTCTTTTTCAACAGAAGCATAAATGTAGGTATCCAGATCACTAAATGTTGAATCTAGTATTTTGTACCAGCGTATTCAATTATGTTTATATCTCTTGTGTTGATATTTCTAGTTCTTGCGTTCTCGTGCTCACAAATTCGCACAAACCTGAGAATCCGGTGTTAGTCAAACGTACTCTCTCGCACGTTCCTGCTGTACTCGGGACTACTGGGCTAGCCATTGAAACAATGCAAACGAGTTTGCTTTGGTGTGTTGCGCGTCTCACTATACATGAGCTCATATGTTAAACATGAAATCAGCGAAGGTATGCTGGTATATGCAAAACGTTAGATCTTCCTAGCCGCCAAAAGTACATTCATATCCAAGCAGAGTATCTCTGCGTATACGTTTTCGTTCTACTGTACATTATCGTTCTGCATGGCGATAAATTGATGCAGAGCTTATTGATGGTCGAAGGCCAACAGCGCAGTGTCCGCTGTCGTCGTCTGCATCTATTCATAGTTTCATGCTGTGCTTTTAACGCCAAGTACACATATTGTGATGTTACACGCCGGCCTGTTCTGCACCGCTAAACCCTAAAAACATTGACATCGAACTAACTGTCCTGTTCACCTCGCCAAATGGACTGGCCCACGTAAAGTCGTAAACCTTCGGGGTTGTCTTGTATGGTCAAGTGTGCTTGTCCGCTGCACGTGTCTAATTCCTGTTTTATACTTTGCATGGGCAGGTTTCAATCACTCACATTAAAGCGCGTTCCGGACCGGTCCTTCCCCTGTTTTGAGTTCAGGTGAATTTTTATGGGACCGCCGCTGTGCTGGTGCTAAGGTCAACGGGATCTCTTACCACACCTCGTAGTTCATTTTTATTTAACATTAAAGTAGTGCCTTATCAACACTTTACTGGTAGTGTCTGTCTTGAGAAATTCACTCAAGGTGATATCATTTGTATTGCAAGTATAAGAGATGCTCAAGCATACGTCAACATTTGCGTGCTTGCAATCAGTATATACACATATCCAAAAAATATTTCTTATATACCGGTTTTGTAAATTACTGCTGGAATTTCTGATTTCTTGATTCGTGCATACGAACAGGGTTGGCCTGTATTGTTTTGCCTACTTATTAATTTATATAAGTGCGATTTGGCGGTAGCTTTCCATGCATACGTATCTCGTTCTTTGTATAGATGAAAACTTGTGCGTCTTCGCCCGGAGGACCCACCTTTTTACAAATGTGTATCGCAGATGGGCTCAATGAACTTGCAGCGTTAATTAACACATCCTATATGGTTGTGGTTCTATGATGTATCTCGATTGGGGCTGTTGTGTGGGTGCCTATGGTTTTACTGCTACCTAAAGCGATAGTCTGACACAGTTTGCTCATGTCGCTATATGATTAAAGTTCTTTGTATCTGTGCAATTCTGCATATTCATTTTTGGTGAATACCTAAAGATACACATAGAAAGAATCCACATTGTGCAGTTGACCTATACACACATATTTGTGTATTTATGTAGGTACACAATTTGATATGCTTGAACTACTTATTCCCAATCATGTAATAGCATGCATTGATACATTCACACTTTCTCTTACAGCGTATCGATAAATACGGGCACACAAAATTTATAAAGAAGTGGCGATATATACCACAATTGAAAAATCCGTAAGCCGAGCCATAGTATTTAATTACCATTTCAAAGGGTAGGCGATCACAGATCACTGTCTATATTGTATTAAAAGCATATATATTTGTATTTGCTTTTGTTGTGCTGTTGTAAGTCCTATTGTTAATCGTTTATTAAGTAGCTATATTTCCAATCAATGAGTGTACATTAAGTGGTAGGTTCAAAATATCATACCAGGTAGAGTAACAACTTGTATTGCACTATAGCGAGGAGAAGCTTACTGAGAGTGTACTTCACATAGTACATGGTTAATTCTATGTTGAGCGTATGTGGTATCACGCTGTGTGTGAATATAAGTGGGGAACATCTGAGCTTTGGTCATTTATGAACGATATCGACACAGAACCTCGAGACCGTTAAAATAACAATATATATCCCGATGGTCCGATAAATTAATTTGTGCGCTAGTATTTCTGCGAACCCCTTCAAATGACCGATAGATTCGGATGGCAGCGATAATATACACACCGGCAAATCCACGTAGGGCTGCATGTAGAAATACTCGTTGTGCTTACTATGTAAATTGAGCTTCATACCGTATTCTCAATGGAGATAACAAAAATCACCTGTGACATTGCACTACACGACCATGCGAGAGGTCGAAAACAACCATGAGCGTTGGATATTGGGCCCACATATCAGGAAGCACGCAGCAGAACAGTACTTCTGAATAAAAAGTAATGTCAGTTAAACATTTGATACTGAGGCTATTTAACATTAAGCATGCGGCGGGTCAGTACTTCTGCATAAAAGGTAACGTCAGTTAAACATTTGAAACTGAACCTATTTGTCAGGGAGTATGCTGCGGGACAGTACTTCTGAATAAGAGGTAACGTCAGTTAAACATTTGATACTGAGCCTATTTGTCAGGGAGTATGCGGCGGGACAGTACTTCTGAATAAGAGGTAACGTCAGTTAAACATTTGATACTGAGCCTATTTGTCAGTAAGCATGCGGCGGGTCAGTACTTCTGCATAAAAGGTAACGTCAGTTAAACATTTGATACTGAGCCTATTTGTCAGGGAGTATGCGGCGGGACAGTACTTCTGAATAAGAGGTAGCGTCAGTTAAACATTTGATACTGAGCCTATTTGTCAGGGAGTATGCTGCGGGACAGTACTTCTGAATAAGAGGTAGCGTCAGTTAAACATTTGATACTGAGCCTATTTGTCAGTAAGCATGCTGCGGGACATCACTTATATATAACAGGTAACGTCATTTAAACGTTTAATATTGGACTAGTAGGAGACATTCGGGGGGACAGTACGTACATATAAATAGAAGGTCATGTCGATTAATTCTCGGGCTTATTTATTATTTATTAGGAAGGATTCAGATTTCAGAGCAACAGTTCTTATAAATATAAGGTATTTTCAAATCGGTTGATGTTGGTCCTGCCTATCACGAAGCATTTAGCTGGACAATACTTGCTATCTCATATTGCATTATGAGGACAAATTCAATACTATACGTCCGAAAATTTATTGAGTGGGCACGTTGGTGCTTTCTGGTCCAATGAAAACGATCTGAAAATGATTAAACGTATACACCGATTAGCCATTTTGGGCCTTTGAGGATAAAATTCCATGCGTCACTGTGAGCTTGTGAAACATGTCATATTTATGTACGTATTTTAAAATAGACCTTTGTATCGATTGCTGCGACGAGAAGCTTAAGTGTCAGACAAGCAAGCATGTTAGGTAGGGCTCGACCGATGGTGTTGGCTGCCTACATTGGGAGAATCGGCTATAAAGAGAGCTTAACACTGCAGCAGACAATCGCGGCGCAGCTGGTACGAACAGTTTTATTGCTTTGCGCGTTCCTGTTACGTATTTCCTGTTACGTAATGCGTAAATATATGTAGATTCACGACATTTGTTTGTATTAGAATACATGTATGTATATTTCTTCCTTATATGTGTATGCTGTTTCTATATTAAACGCATACTTGCCTACTTGCCTACTTGCATGGATGCATGCATGGATGCATGGATGCATGCATGGGTGCATGCATGGATGCATGGATGCATGCATGGATGCATGGACGCATGAACGCTCCAAAGTATCTTGCCATAGCACATATTCCGGTTGTTTGCGTTCGCCTCGGTCATATACCGATATGCGTATGGCACACCACTACCATCGGTATCAATGATTATACATCCTCGACTAAGGATTTATCTATTTCTTTCAATTACATTCGAACATATTCCGGTTGTTTGCGTTCGCCTCGGTCATATACCGATATGCGTATGGCACACCACAACCATCGGTATCAATGATTATACATCCTCGACTAAGGATTTATCTTTTCTTTCAATTACATTCGAAAGACACTCACGAGCTTTTGGTTCGTTCACGCATTACAGTTTGAAGATAAGGAGAAGATGAACGATGTGCTGTTGCTGTGTCAGCATCCGCCCGTGTATACTCTGGGTCGTAGATTACATGAAGACGATAGCGAACGCAATAGATTGGAAGCACTGGGTGCAGAATATCACAAGGTACCCTTTAGT